CGAAGACGTTTCCGTGGTCATGTGGCCGGCATGACTAAACACCAAGGCGCATGGAACGCTGTTACCTTCCCACCGAAGTGGTACCTATTTATCTACTTGCAATTTCTTGCCTTCAAACTGCTAGGTTGGCAGGAGCTGGAACTAGAGATGGAAGCTCACTCCATCATGCGGCACCCGGGTCTTGAACTGCTGAACTACTGACCTTCCACAGCCTGCAGTTCAGCATCTTAACCACTTGAGCCACCGCAGCTCCTATGAATGGCTTTACTGTGATGTAAATGATGGTATGGAAATAGGAAACCACCCCCATCTTACTTGGCTCATCCTCAAACAAGTATACAACCTTTATTTCATTTGGTGATTATGTACAGAACCTACTTGACTTACTAAAGAATATTTATTTTGTTTTCTTAATAAATAGAAGAAGTTTAACTGGAAATGATTGGTCACAATGATTTTTTGTTTAAGGACTGTACGAGACTGGTATGGTGAATTATACCTGGAGAGGGCTAAAAGTCCAGTGTGGAATGACTTAGAATGGCACCCTTTCTTTGAGATCCTTATAAACAAACTGTAGATTTCTCAATTGAAACTACATGTTCTTAAAAAAAAACACCAACCCACTCAGGATGCATTATCAAATTCCACATTTCATTTCCTTGGACTGGTTTCAACAATTCACCTCTTACCCTTCTATGTATTTTCAGAGTAGCAGTATGGCTGTACCCGTGAGAGAGGACTGTGCTCTTTTGATATGATTACATATGAAAACAGAGTTGGCTGATCTGGAAAGTTATCCCCATAGGCCTTCAGCTGTTCATCCTTCTGCAGTAGTCTCACTTTACTGTCATATCCATCAGTGTCTAACCTGTAATAAGTGCTACTGGGAACGACAATAATCCACAAGTAATTTTTCAGGAGTCCAATATGTGGCAGACTAGGCATTTCTAAATCACTACTTCTTGAAACTGACTATCAACTTTTAAGGAACAAAAGTAAATGAGGAAACATTTCTAATGCTCCCCTTGATATCTGAAAAATATATAACTGTGTTCTGGTTACCATTGCTCACATTATTTAACTCTGATTTTTGCATAAATCAATATTGTACCTGCTGACTTGGTTTCAACAAGAACATACGCTGAGCTCTATTGTATTAGACTAAATTGTTCACTGTCAGTCAACCAGATTCCTATGGGAAGACTGCAAGGAAAGTATGAAGGGTACAATCCTTTACTTTGTGTCCCAGCATCTGGAACGCTAACAAAGCTATATTATCATAACTAACTCCTCGTGCATATATCCAATCCTTTTTAAAGGTGTCTTGTAGAGAAAATGCTCCAAACCCCCGTTCATTTTGTCACTTTTTGCTATTCCTATGGTATATCTTGAGATGGGATAACTAGAAGAGTCTGAAAGTTAAAGGCATTATAATCCTGGCAGTTTTATTTTCATTTCTTTACATAATGATTTCCAGTACTGAGTTTGCCTTTTCAGTGCTCCTATGTGCTAAGATGATGTTTTCACTCAACTGTCAGCCATAATCACAAGATTCATTTCCCCAGGTAGTCACATAGCCCTCATCACTTTTTTTTTTTACCTCAGTGTACATCAGTTTGTACTTAGTTATCCCAATCCCATTTGCGATTGAGTTGGCCATTCACCCAGGTTACACAAATCCTTTGGGGGTTCTCTGAGGTTCAGTTTGGATTATACTATCTTGAATAACTTCAGTGTCATCAGTAACCTTGGATACCTTACTGCTCATCCTGACTTCAAATAATTTAAGAATTATTTAAAATAGTATCAGACTGAACACAGATTCTTGGGGGATCCCACTGCTTACTCTCTGTTGTTATGAAAGCTGTCCATTTATTGTTATCCTTTACTTTAACCAGTTCTTTGAAGACCTACAAAACCTCCTAGAGCTAACACCAAAAGAAGATGTCCTCATCACCATAGAGGACTGGAATGCTAAAGTAGGAAGTCAAAAGGTAACCGGAATAACAGACAAGTTTGGCCTTGGAGAACAAAATGAAGCAGGGCAAACGCTAACAGAGTTTTCCCAAGAGAACACACTGGTCACAGCGAACACCTTCATCCAACAGCCTAAGAGGCGACTCTACACATGGACATCACCAGATGGGCAACACCAAAATCAGATTGACTATATCATTTGCAGTCAAAGATGGAGAAGCTCTATCCAGTCAGTAAAAACAAGACCTGGAGTTGACTGTGGCTCAGATCATGAGCTACTCATTGCAAAATTCAGACTTAAACTGAAGAAAGTTGGGAAAACCACTAGGCCATTCAGATTTGACCTAGATCAGATCCCTGATGAATATACAGTGGAGGTGAAGAATAGGTTTAAGGGACTAGATTTGATAGACAGAGTGCCTGAAGAACTATGGACGGAGGTTCGTGACATTATACAGGAGGCAGCAATCACCACCATCCCAAAGGAAAAAAAATTGAAGAAAGCAAAGTGGCTGTCTGATGAGGCTTTTTAAATAGCAGAGGAAAGAAGGAAAGCAAAAGGCAAAGGCGAAAAGGAAAGATTTACCCAACTGAATGCAGATTTCCAGAGAACAGCAAGGAGAGATAAGGAGGCCTTCCTGAATGAACAGTGCAAAGTAATAGAAGAAAACAATAGAATGGGAAGGACTAGAGATCTCTTCAAGAAAATTGGAGAAATCAAGGGAACGTTCCATGCAAAGCTGGCCATGATAAAGGACAAAAACG